GGGGGGGAGCCTTTCCCATGCAGGAGACCCATCCTCAGAGTCCCACCCTCCAAAAATTGCAGCCCCCCCCCCTTACAAAATTGCCTCTTACCTGCCTGCCAGGGTCCCATGTCAATTCCTGAGCCAATCGTGGTTGCCAGGGGAGTGGAGAACTCGGATTGGCTAGCAGGTTCATATATCTAATCTGGACCAATCACTGTGAACAGGGGTGGGGTGCAGTACAATGATTGGCTAGCCTGGATTACGGGTACATCCTGGAGGCAACCGTTAGTCTGAAGATGTCAAAGGAGTGCCTCAGGGAGTATCGGGGTTCCTGAAGGAGACAGGGCTGGGCAGGCCGAGATGGCCCGCTCACTGTAGCATCTGCTCGGTAGCAACTCCTCGGCCCAGTGAGCTCGGTGAGCAGCTCCCTGAGCTACAAGCTCGGCTTCTGGTGGGAGCAGCCCGCCCGCCCTGCAAGTCCATATTCCGGCACTTGGGGGAGGGGGGGCAGCCCTGCCCCTGTGCCCGAGGAGGCGGGTGGCCCTGGGTTTGGGCTAAGTTCCGGGCACCAGTCGGGTGCCTTGAGCTCGTGCTGTACCCCTCTGCATAGTTCTTTATACCGTTTCTCTCCTGAGGAGCTGTTTAGTTATGAGTTGTTTGTTTTGTTTTGGTTTGGTTTTAAGCCACAGAAACCCATTTACTTCAACTCATTTGTTTAAACCCAGGTGCTTAAACACAGCAGGGTGACCACTCTTGAACACATGTATCTGGCCAGTTGGGAGGGCTTGCTTCAGGTGAGGCTGGATCCAGGGTCTCAATCTGCATTGGGAAACCCTTGCGGAGTGGATGCTATTGTCTCTAACCAGGAGCAGAACTGACTTCAGAACTACTGTTTTTCTTTCCTTTAAAAAACAAATGTCAGAGTAGACAAGAGAGAAAAGGCACCCCCCTAAACGGGGCATGGTCATGCCACAATCCTCCTCCCACCATTTCTCATCCCCTCAGGATTTGGGGCACCTGCATGTTCATGCAGGCACCTGCATGTTCACCCAGATTATTTTTTTTATGCCACTGGAGCCAGGACTTGAACCGGAGCTGCCGGACCCAGGAGGTGATCAGCCAGGTGGGATCTGATTCCCTGTGCACACAGCTTACCAGCCACACTGGCCCATCCAGCTCCACTATGGACACGACTTCCCCCAATTGCCCCCTGGGAGAGGCTTGGGATTTCTTGTGACTTGAGGACATCTCGCCTTGCTCTCTCTGGCCCCCAGTAGTTGCCAATCAGAGGTCCCCAACCAGCAACCTGCAGTCTGGCCTGGACTGCCATTGCCTCTTTGCCTGTTGAGTGGTCTAAAATGGGGGAATCCCCTACAGAACTCCACAATTCTGGCTTCCCTTAGCGTTCGAGAGTGTCGGCATAAGGGGTCCCCACGCGAAGGTCCTGGGCAGTCCTGTCCCTACACCTGTCGCCCACCTGGCGGCACCACGCTGACCTCACTGTCGACAGCCTGGGCTCAGTGGGTGCCGAGAGGCACAGCATTCCTCTTGTCTTGGCCTTGCTTACAACAGGGGTCGCCCCGGGGCCAAGGGGCCGGTCTGCAGCCTCAGGGATCGGGCATTGCCACCGTCCAGCAGCAGGGGCCCAGAAGAGCCAGGACGACTTCCAGACTGCAAGCTGGCCTCAGCCCAGAGCCAGAGCAGCGGAAGGGCACCCTTTCTAGAGATGTCCTCTACCAGGACAGCCCCTTGTCTCCCTTCCCGTGGGCTCTGCTGGCCTCTTAGGTGCAGGAGCAAGACACCACCTCTGTATCGTGTGGGCTGTGTGATCGATCACGTGTGTGCAAAGTGGGGGTGACTGGAGGGGATGTTCGCAGACTGATTGTCACCAGGCTCATTGCTGAGAGCAGTGTGCTTATTTATTTATTAATTTATTTTAGTTTTTGCCATAGTGCACATGCGCTCACCAGGGAGAGACCGAGAGAGAAAGGGAGAAGTCACCCCTAGGGCAGCTAGCCATGCCAGAATCCCTTCTCCTCCACTCTCTTCTTGGGATTTTGGGCACACACACACACAACACTCACACACACAAGCCTGGCGTGACTCTCAAGATGCCAGGCCCAGGACTCAAACCATAAATCTGGCCATATGGGATCCAGCGCCTGAAGCTCCACGCCACCTGCTGGCCAGAGCAATTTATCTTTACGTGAATTCCTAGCTCGTCTTCTAAGAATATTTCCCCAGGAGTATTGGGATGAGCTGGCCTGGTGGTCTCCGCGTGTCTGTGGCCTGGGACTGGTGCCCGGGGGAGGATGAGAAGCTGCTCCTTGACTGGGGCTGTCGTTGGCTTTGATGCGGGAGGAGAGGCGAGGTCTGCAGATCCCAGGAGGATGGCCTGCACGAGTCCTCCTTCTCCGGTCTTAACAATGGCAGAGAGGAACCTCAGCCCCGCTGGCTCTCCTTTGGAAAGTGCTCTCTGCCCTAGGAGAACCCCAGTTCAAACTGGCTTAAGCAAGCAAAGGGGATTCCCCGGGCCCTGTATTTGGGCCGGCTGACTGTGGGTGGGTCTTACTCCAGGTATGGCTGGCTCCAGGCACCCAATGTCCTCAGGTCTCCCAGCCACACCCAGGCCTCTGGACTTGGCCTCGGTCTGTGTGCCAGCTTAGTCCTAATTCTGGGGGGAAAGGAGCTGCCAGCAACCCCAAGCCCGCATGCATAGGGTTCACAGTCTCAACGCAGACACACTCTCCATCTCAAATCTCATGGAAGGCTTTGATTGGCCCTGCTCAAGTCACATGCTCACGCCTGTGGCCACGTTGGCCAGGGGCTGGGGTCCTGTGGTTGGCGTCCCCTCCAGGAGCAGCAGTGAGTGGGGAGAGGGCCAGTCCCCCAACGGCTAAGAGGAGTTGGGCCAAGAACAGTGGAGGTCCACGTCATGGCCGCTAGCCTCTACTCCACGCGGGGTCCCTGGGACCCACGCTAAAGCGCCAGCCATAGCTCCTGGGAGGCTTGACTTAAACCTCATTCAAGAAGGGGCTGTCGGGCTGCTGGTCTCTAAATCCCCCAGACCTAAGGGCTGAAGGCTCCTTTCTTGGGCCTCTTTCTCTGTCTTGTTTGTTAACCCCTTGCGGCCAGGACAGAAATAAGGCAATAGCAACGTCGGCATGTAGGAGCCTGGGTCTTGAATTGAGACTGGGGTTCAAGTCCCAGCCTTCCTTTCACTAGCTGTGTAACCTCGAGCAGGTGCCGTGGCCTCTCTGTGCCTGTTTCCTCACCTGTAAAGCTGGGGCAGCAGTGCCTACCTCACCGGGTGGTAGTGGACGAAATGAGAGGGTGGCCGTGGAGTCCTTGGCCAGCACCTGGCACGCTGGCCTCAGTGGGGTCAGCGGAAATCCCGATGCCGTTGTGCTTCTTGTCCAGACTCCAGGCTCCGTCCTGGGGACGCCTGTCACTTTTCCAGGAGGCAGCGTGGCTCTGAGTGCCAAGTGCATCCAGAGAACGGTGATGGCAAGGTGCCACTTCCCTCTGAGCTGGCGCCCTCGGCTGGCTCCTTAGGAAGTGTCCTCAGTGGCATTTCGTCGGCCGCTTTGCTCCATGCTCCTTAGGAAGTGTCCTTCTCAGTGGCATTTCGTCGGCCGCTTTGCTCCAGAGTTGAAGCAAGCGCAGTTGGAGGTGTTTTTCCCCTACCCGGAGCTCTCTGGGATCCCCCACTCCTGTCAGATGAATTGTTCAGCGACTGCCCTGTAGTTATTGTCAACGAAGCCTGTTTCAGCCGGTGGAACACACGGCTCGTTTATGGAATCACTCGCTCCAGCCAGAAACATTGAACGTTTGAGATGTGGGTACACTCCTGCGTCCTTGTCGACTTATTATTATTAATGTGTTTTAATTTAACTGGAGAGAGACACAGAGAGAGGGAAAGTGAGAAAGCAAGCCAGGTCCAGGATTAGAACTGTGGTCAGCCATGTGGAAGTGTCCAGCGCCTTAACCACCATGCCACTTGCCGGTCTCTGTCCATTGTCGACTTTTGAAAAATGATTTATTTATTTATTTTAGGTTTTTGCCATGGGGTGCGTGCACTAGCTGCAGAGAGACAGACAGTGAGAAGGAGGGATGGGCAGACCACAATCCCTTCTCCTTCATTCTCCTCCTAGAATTTTGGGCACCCACCTGGCGTGATTTCCAAGCTGCCAGATCTGGGACTTGAACTGTTGTCAGCCATGTGAAAGCCCAGCCCGTTAGCCACCACATCATCTGGCTCCCATTGTTGACTTTCTACACTGTTGTTTGTAAGACTCCAGAGCATTCTTACTTGGGGCATTACCACCCACAATGGTTGCAGGTGGGGCCTTTGGAGATGTAGAGATCACATTTTCTTAAAAAATAAAAGAAAGAAAAGATTTTTTCTATTTACTTGATTGTTTTGGTTTTTAGATTTTTGCTAGAGGGCACATGTGCTTGCTGGAGAGAAAGTGATCCCTTCTCCATTCTCTTCTGGGGACTCTGGGCACACATGCGCATGTTCCCGGTGTGAGTTTTAAGCCACCCAGTCTGGGACTCGAACCACGGCCCACTATGTGGGCGTCCAGAAGTGTAACGTTATGCTATCTGCTGGTCCCTCTCTTTACTGATAGAGCATGTTTGTGTAGGCACGTGGGCGAGAGGAGGGAGAGGAGAACCTTGTGCAGGCTGTCACGCTGTGACCCTCTTCTCCCAGCCCTTCACCACCCACGTGCCGAGCACGTGTTCAGGCTGACCGAGCTGGGACTCGGACTGCGGCCGGCATGTGGCTTCCCGGTCCTCAGTCTGGGCACTTACAACTGCACCGAGGAGGCGGGCCAAGGGCATGCCTTTCACTCCGAAGACCACGTCTGCCTGTTCTTTCCTGGGGCTGCCATGAACAAACTACCCAACCTGGTGGCTTAAGACCACAGAAATGCGCCTCTCAGCTCCGGAAGCCACAGTCCCACAGTCGGAATCCAGGTGCGGCTCAGCCCCACCTTCGCAGGGCTCTTGAGATCCTGAACTAATTACATCTGCAAAGACCTCATTTCCAAACAAGGACACACTCCACAGTTCAGGGTGGACGTGAGTTGGGGGGATCATATTCTGCCTGAATGAATATAGTTTACAGGGGTACCAAAATGCGAATCTCTGGGGCCCACTTGGTGCTGCTTCCTCGGGGGCTGGTTCCTGAATTCCCTGCCGGGTATCCAGTGAAAGTGAGAGTCCTGGCGTACATCTTTCCTGGACCACTCTGCCCTGGCCTGGGGTTTTCAGGGGACGTGACTGCGGATGGCCCAGTCCTGATGCCGGGGGCACGAGAGGCCTGCCCAGGGCACTGCCCCTCCTTCCTGTGAGCTCTCCCTGGGCTCGGGGCGGGGGTGCTGCCTTGAAGACCACGTGATCTGGAGCTGGAGGCCAGACGGTCACTTGGAAGAGCAGAGGTGTGTTCCTTGGTTTGATGCTTCCATTACCCTCCTGGCCAAGGGCACGAAGACAGCTTCACCTACTTTGATACCTGGCATTCCTTCATTCACTGTGGCTCCTCCAGTTTCTCTTGAACGTGGGTGGCAGATTTCAGAGGAACAGCCAGCTGACTCATGGGTGTGGCGGGGGTTGAGAAGGTACAACTCATTGGAGGAAGATGGCGCTCCGGGGGGAGAGGGAGAGCTGGGACCAGGTCTGAGCTGTGGGTCTCTGCTGACGTCTTAATCAGCCATGGAGCCTCTTGCAGGCCTCTTGGGGCCTGGGCCCAGAGAGAGAGGGCGAAAGATGCTGGGACTCCCCTGTGGCCCACAGGTAATGCTGGGAGCAATTCTTCCTCAGTGCAGCTCTGCAGAGGCAGAGGCGGGGCTGCCTGGAGAGTTCTGGAGGGATGAAGCAAAGGAGCTGGGGCCTCCAGGGGTGCCAGAGGGGCCATGCTGCACAGTCTCCCTAGCCCTGTGCCCTCCTGCCTGCAGTGCTAAACCGCACCAGAGAAATTCTGAAGAATGTGAGTTCCCCAGAAGCACAGTTTGAAAGTTCTTAGTTTTCTGCAGCCAAGAGTTTTCTTAGCCACAGCCCAATGACAGCTGTGGATTCATCTGCCTGTGGAAAGCCCCCCTGAGGCCCGGAACCAGAGTCCTTCTTGGTCCCTCCAGTGCTAAGGTTTGATGAAGAGCAACCCAGCAGCTGAGACGTGGCTACTGCCCTGCGCGGAGGGGTCCAGGATGGACTGCAGGGTTCCAGCCTGCAGGCCGGGCCATGCCATGCCCCAGGGTCCTCAACAACAGATCAGGAGTGATCTGACCCCCAGCAGACCAGTCCCCCTGCAGCTCGATGGCTTCAGCTCGTGTGTCACATGTGTCCCTCCATCAGCGAAGGTAAGGACTGCAATCTTGGACGCTTTTCTCTCTCTTGCTCCTCTCAGCTCTGCAAGTGCCCAAGTCAGAGTGAGCCTCTTCTGTGCATCAGGTGGGTCACCTCTTAGCATGTCAGAGACTCCAATACCCAACATGAACTGCCTACTGCAAAGATGAGGATTTACTGGTCTACGTAATTGGGAAGTCCAGGAATGACTTTGAGCTTCAGGTACAGTTGGATCCAGGAGCCCAAACTGTCCTCTCCCCAACTCTGGCTCGTCTCCGCTCTGGGTTGCTCGCTCTCTCGGTCCAGGCCATGTCTTCACATTGGAGAAGAGTGGGTCTACCTCCTTTCCTCTCAGGTTGCCCACGCCCTGGAAGCCAGACAAGCCCAGCAGGGAATTTCTTCCCTTGTGTTCAGCAGCAGTCCTGGGGTGGGCTCTGACCAGGTGACCTGGGACAGAGGCCTATCTTAGGACCAATCTTGAAGCCCTCCTGGGACTGCGGGGAAGGGGACAATGACAGCCAAACCACCCTGATGGAGTGGGGGTGTGGTAATGCCCTGAAGGCAACAGGGTGGTGGAGGGTCTTGGCTAGAGTTTTGATTTATGGTGACCCTTCAGCCCCAGCCTCCTCAGACACTGGGCTTTCAGTCTATGCCAACTCACCAGCCTTTAGGCTGGACTGGGAATCAAACTTGAGCCTTCCACGGAGTCCCAGGCTGTACAGCCGTGTCTTAGCTGTGTGTGCCACTGCACTGGGCCACAGCCAGGTTCTGGCATGCATCACCAGGTGGGTTTCTAATTTTTTTTTTAGAGATTTTTGCTCTAAGTCACATGGTCTTGCTAGAAAGACAGGAATAGATAGAAAGCAAGGAATTACCCTCCAGGGGGATGGCCACACCACAATCTCTTCTCCATTTTTCTCTTGGGATTTTGGGCATGCATGCACACGTGCCCGTGTGAGTTTCAAGCCACCGGGATGAACCTTGGTCAACCACATGGGAGTTCAGCACCCTCACCACTGTGCCACCTGCTGGTCCCAGCCAGGTGGGGTTCTTTTCTTAAAAAGGTATTTATTTAAATATATTTGTTAACATTTTTTAATTTGACCAGAGAGATGAGAGAAAGGGAAAGTGAGAAAGTCAGCCACCAGGTCCGAGACTTGAACTGTGGTTGGCCATGTGGGAGACCAGCACCCCTAACCACCACTCCACCTGCTAGCCCCCCGGTTGGGTTTCTTAATGTAAGAAACTGGGCGTCCTCCGTGATGGCTTCCTCTGGCTGCCGGAGCATGGGCTCACCCCAGGAACAGCCCTCGGCCACGGTTAGTGGCAGCTCAGTACCTCAGTTCCCTTGCCCTCAGGTGGAGCAATGGTGGCCGGAGGACTGAGCCCCGGCTGAGCCTAGGCTCTGAGCTGCTCCAAAACATAATGGGCTCCTTCCCCCACCCCCGTACTGACTGGGGTTCCTTGGGGTCACGCCCTTGTTTCAGGTCTGCTCCTGACAGGGCTGTTATTAGGAGGAGCTGGAATGTGGGGGGTAGAGAATGAGGCTGCGGAGGGGACTCCTGGCTCCGCATCGGACCCTCCCAGGACCACTGTGCTGTCTGGCCTGGATTCCAGTGCTGTTGCTTTTCCCATCAGGCCACCAGCACAGCAGACACGTCCCCTCACAGGTCAGGGCTTTCAAGCCAAGGGACATTCAGGGCAGCCCGTCTTTCCAGCCACTGCCGCAGGTCCCCGGGGGGCGGTGAGGGGTGCTGAATCCTCCGCCCTCCCCCACAACCCCCGATGCTAATTAAGCGGGCCTGGGGCAGGGTCCAGAATTGCACAAGACAGGACACACACACACTGATCTAGAACCAGGCCAGGGAATGGCTTTCAGGGACGTGCCAGCCACCTCAAGGAGTGAGTCTGCAGCATCTTACGAGAGGCAGAGCCTGATTCCCGCAATCCCTTCTTCGTTTTCCCTCCTTTCAGGATTGTGGACACGCACACACATGCCTGATATGGTTCTAACCCAGTGGATCTGGCTTGCCACACAGTTGGCCACGTGGGATCCAGCCACCTTAACCACCATACCATGAGCTGGCCCGTAACCTCCTGACTTTTAAATGTGGGTAAATTCTATAAACAAAACAAAACAACCACCAGCAGGACTAAACCTCTGCCTTTCAAACAGGAGGCCAGGGACCAGCCGCATCGTCCTGGAGCTGGGTGGGTGCGGAACCCCAGTGCTGCTCCCGGCCAGAGTCTGTATTTCAGCTGGATCTGCAAGTGGCCCAGTGCAGCCAACGTTGGGGAACGCTGGGTTAGGACGTCAGGAGCTGGGCTCTGCTCCGGGCGGGTGACGGCCTGTCTTGGGGTAAGCAGAGCTACCTAGGCCAGCTACCCAGGACCACCTGACGGCTCCTTTTATTATATCAATTTATTCAAGTGATAGAAAACCTCTCAGCAGCAGGGTAAACAGGTCTGTAAACACGGCATCGCCTGCCTCCCTCCATCCCTTCATCTAAGGCCTTTCCTATGACTGGAGACAGGGCTAGTTGGCAGGGCTGGTCTGTACAGAGTCCCATGATGTGGCCATAGGCAGGCTTGTCCCTTCATTCTCCCCTTGTGTTGTGTGTGGGGGGTGCTGGGCTCTGCCACTTGATTCGGCCACTGAGTTCGGGTAGGTTTGCTGGCAGCCCCTCCCCCAGGAGGCTGAGACTCTTTGGCATCGGAGCAGGCCCTCCTGGGGGGTGGGACAGGCCTCTGGGCAGCAGCACGAGCAGGGGTGGTGGGACATCTCAGGCAGCACTGACTTGCTGGCGGTGCGTGGGCCTTGGCAGGTGGACAGGTGCGGGTGGGGCCCAGGTGTGCCCAGGTGGTCCACGGCAGTGGCCTCGGAATGTCCCCTGTAGAAGCTGGATGGTGTTGTGAGGAGCCCTTCCTCAATCCTTGAAGGGGGTGCTGGTGTCCCCCGGCTGTCCCTTCTCAGTGGCCAGGAGCTCCCCATTCATCTCCTGCAGTGGAAGGTAGGCATAGTCCCCGTCCAGGTGCCGGCTCCTCTCTGCCCGGGAGCCCAAGAGCAAGGACACGTTCACGGCCACGCTGGTCAGGAGGAGGAAGGCCAGGGCCAGTGTGAGGGCCAGCCAGGTGGTCCTGGAGGCAGAGGAGAACCCCGAATCGGGGCTGCTGGGTGGCCTCCAAGCTGGGGACTGGAGGCCCGCCTGCCCTCCCTCCATCCGTCCTGAATAAGACCACATGGGACAAAGAACCAATTGACGGTGGGGGTTAGGGCACAAAGCATGCGCCTACGAGGGCCTAGGCCAGAGCTGTCACATGTCCTCGGGTTTCAAGAGAAGTTGTTAAAGAAAAAATAAAAGACTTTCACGTGCGTACTGACTTTCAGACGCTGCTGATACTTATCTTTCCGTTTAAAGTAACTGCGGTAAGAGAGCGCAGCGGGACTGCCTTCCTCCCACTATCACGTTTGCATCCCGTGCTCCAGGGGAGGCTGGAGCCACCAGAGGTCTTGGCCTCTGCCCAAGGGTCCCCAAAGCAGAGTGGGTTGAACGGGTCCCCCTTTCCTTCAAAGCAGGGAGCTGACAGGTGAGGATCTTTCCAACAATTTTTTTCTTTACATGAATCTTAGGCAGAAGCTCTGGGGAAAAACAGCCATCACACAGCGTGGGGGGTCGTCCCCCAGCCATGCCCATCAGGCCCCCACTGGTAGCCCCTGAGCAGAGCTGTTGGTCTCAAGCCTGCAGGAGCTGCCCCTGAGGCCGGGTACAGGCTCCTGGCATTCTGCTCTCACCCTGCCCTGGAGTGTTTTCAAGCTGAGCGCCTCCCGGTATTTCTTCAGGTGGTCCTGAGTCTTCAACTCACCCCAGACTTACCCGTCAGGACCTCCGGGAGGAACCTGGACTCAACGAGCTCCAGGGCCAGCTCGAGGACAGGGGCCAGGAGGGGCCCAGGCACCTGGACTGGGCTGGCAGCCTTGGCTTCGCCTGGTGGAAGTGCAGGTCCCCAGGCTACACCCCAGACCTGCTAATGCACAGGGCCCCGCAATCTGCGATGAGGCCTTTGGGGGTTCAACTCTGGCACCCACTGCCCTATTATAAACAGCTACAAAGCACCAGCCCAGGCCTGAGCACACGAGTGCCTCAGCTTTCAGGACATCTGGATCAGAGGCTGAGCGGGCAGGTCCCGCATCTCCCCCAGCTCCACCTGGAATGGTGCCCAGGCTGTCAGCCCTGCCCCTGGTTTGGCAGGGCGGCCGCCTCAGCTGTGCCTGTGCTCCATGGCCTCTGGGCCTTGCTCAGTCCTGGGCAGAGGCCAAACCTGAAGGGGAACAGGAACGGGGAGGGTCCCTCCTGCCCCTGCCCCCAGCTCCCACCAAAGCACCTACTGGGTGAAAAAATAGAGTTCTCCTGCCCTCGGCGTGGCCTCAGATGGCTGCAGACACTGCTTCCCTGTAGGACACGACAGAGGCGGTGGGAACAGCAGTGGGAACGGCGGTGGAGGGTCTGCCCTCCCCGGCCCCCGTGGGTCCTGGAAGAGGCCTGTACCTCGGGAAAAGCTGCAGTTGCCGGTCTGGGGGTCGCAGGGACCCTGGTGCTCACACATGCAGGGCTGCTGGCAGCCTGGCCCGTGCCAGCCAAGGGGACACTCTGCAGATGGGAGGACAGACGTCAAGGCCTCGGGGGCCAGGGCCTCTCTCTGGGGGACAGGAGGTCTCAGCTGCAGGCAGAGCCAGGTGAGGCCAGTCCCTGAACGTGACCCTATCTGGAAACCTGGTCTTGACAGCTGTGAACGGGATGTCAAGACCAGACCACAGAGGATGGAGAGGGAGGCTGGACACCCTCGGGGCGGAGTCTGTGAGGCAGGGGCAGAGGCCGGAGAGACCAGCCCCAAGCCGAGGATAATGAGACCCCTTGGACCTGCCCAAGGAGCATGGCCCTGCCGACACCTCGGTTTTTAACTTTTGGCCTCCAGACTGCGAGGGGTACATCTGTGCTGAATTTGCCGCCCCGTCTGGGGAATCTGGCAACTGCCAGGACACTCATGCCGTGATTGACATGTGGAGGGAGGGAGCCCTTTCCACCCCAGAAGGTGGCACTGACGCAGCCCAGACTCCCCTTGGTGGGGTGCTGCGAGGGGCTGGGCACGTCTACCTTCGCTGCAGTTGGAGCCTGTCCACCCGGCGTCACAGCGGCAGCCAGCTGCCAAGACAGACCAAGGAGGCCAGTGAGGCCCAGGCAGGCCCAGGCAGGCATCCGGCGCCGCCCCCTGAGACCCCACTCACTCTCTGTGCAGAGTCCGTGCTGACTGCAGTTGGAGGGGCCGCAGTCCAGCTCGCTGCAGGAGGCTCCCCGCCAGAAGTGGCCCGTGCACTGGCAGCGCCCCTCCACGCAGGCCCCGTGGCCGTTGCAGTCGGGTGGCTGGCAGCGTGGCTCATGCAAACACACCACAGTGGACACACGGCGGGGACAGCGCCACATGTTGTCCTGGCTGCAGGGGTCAGCGTGTGAGGTGCTGGCTTGTCAGCCCTCACGTCCCTGCAGCAGCCGTAAGGAACTCCCCTCCTGGCCTGGCTAGTCTCACACCCTGGCCTTTTTCAAGTCCCTCTCACTCCTGGGCCTTTGTACGCATTCTGTCCCCTGTTTAGAAGGCTCTTTGACCCGCAGTTAGCCACCTCATCTATCAGGGCTCTGCCCACGTCACTGTCCTTCCCGACCCACTGAGCCTGTGTAGGCGTGGGCTTTGGCAGTTTGCACACTGAGAGGGAGGCAGGGCTCTCTGCTCTTCCCGCCCACTTGTGAGCCCCAGGGTGTGGCATGCAGCAGGTACCCATCGATGGCCGGGTGAGACAGCCAGGAAGTCTGGCCTTTGACCATCCCGGAGGACAGCGGCGTGCTTACCAGTGATCTGATGGGTAGCTGGCCAAGGTCCCGTTGAGCACGAAGGTGGCAGAGCCGCCCCCATCTAGGTTGATGGCGTTGACCACGTCCTGTTTCAGCCATGTCCCACAGGTTAAGGCTGCACACACGGGGGGGGGGGAATGTGTGCTGACCACAACCACCAACCACCACCATTTCCAGTTCCGCCCATCTCACTTTGAATGGTGGACAGCACACACACCCACTGAGCAAGCACGTGGCGTCCCAGAGATGTCCTGTCCTCCTCTCGGAGCTGCGAACAGGACTTCACAACCTAACCATGCCAGTATTGACGCACTGACCTCAGGGCGGGGAGACATTCTGACTATCCAGGGGGCCCAGTGGGCACTCCAGGAACCTCTGGGAGCATGGAGGCCACGGCTGCAAGCCAGCAAGAAAACCAAGACCTCAGTCCTCTGACTGACAGCAACGGTACCAACGGCCTGAATGAGCTCGGAGGATGGGTGTGTCCTGAAGTCCCAGGTAAGAGCACCGCCTGAGAACACCGCTATTTTGTCCCCGAGGTTCCCTGAACTCTGACCTGTAGGGCTGGACCTAACAAGTGGAGGTTGTTCAGGCTGCTAGATCTGTGTTAACCTGTTAGGAACCCACAGCAGAATAACACGCTCTCTCTGCAGGCTGCAACTCCAGATCAGAGAGGTCCAGGGGCTTACGTCAAGCCACAGAGCTGGCTGGGCCAAGCTGGATTGGAACCAGGCTGAATCTCTGCTTACTCTGCAGTTGCTCCCTTTTACTGACCGGGGCTTGGGCAAGAGGAGCCTGGAGGTGGGGTGTAGAGGAGGACGCATCCTCGAAAGTGGAATACATCTGGAGCCCTCTCTGGCAGAAGGCAGGGGTGTGTGCGAACGTCCCCAGGGAGCAGTGGAGTCAGAAGGGCAGACAATGGTGGCCGAGGGTCCTCAGAGCCAGACTGAGCCCAGCCCAGGGCGTGGCTCCCGGCACTCACCCACGCTGCTCTGTCTGCCCGTCGGCGTGGAAGAGCACAAGCTGCCCCTGACGGTCATGGCCCACGGCTGTCCTGGCTGATATGACGTTTATGAATTTGCTAAAGGAACCTGAGGAGAAACTGCCTGGTGAGCACGGAGTCCTTCTGGAGGCCTCCTGGCTCTACCTCCCACGTCTCGCCAAACACCACCCTCAGCCCCCCAGTGCAGGCCACCAGCTTCCACAGAGCAACTGGAGGGGTCGCCCTGATAAATGGAAACCAACTGACATCGGCCTCCAGGTGAAAACCCTCTGGGGGGGCCAGAGGGTGGCACAGTGATAAACCAAGACTCCCTGTGGGGAGTCTCCCAGGGCTACCCATATGGGAAGGTTCCGGCTTCCCTTCAGAGACCTCCCTGAGGACCCTAGGCCTGCACCTGCCCAGGATCTGGGGCTGGTGGAAGCTGGGTGATCACAGCCCCACCCCCACCATTCCTGGCTGTCGGTGGGCTGCTGCAGACAGCCTCCCCTCCCCTTCCCACCTGTCTCCTGAGTCTCCTCGCACTCAATGTCCTGGCTCTGGTTGATGTAGACGGTTCCATTGCGGATCAGCCACACGACCCCACTGAGCAGCTGCACAAATGGGTTCTCGGTGTCCAGCACCTCCTCCTCAGACAGGTACCTGGAGCCAGAAGGGGTGAGGCTCGCTGACTAGCAGAGGCCCTGTGGGGAGCGAGGCTCATTCACCCCACACCCCTCAGCCTGGCTGCTCCATCCCTCCTCCTGGACCTGGGCCTGAGTGCAGCCCTCTGCAGTCCTTCGGACCCACCCTGTTGTTAGAACCAGGACTCCAACAATGTCTCACATACGCCTGTGTGAACGGTCTACACTCCATCCAAAGGGGCAACCATCCCCATCACATCTCCAACCCACCTACAGCCTCAGCCGCCAGTGATTACCCCAGCCTAACTACTAACCGAGGCCTGTCACAGCCTCTCACCCTGCCTCCTTGGTTTGACTCTGGCTCCTCCAACCCAGCCTCTGCCAGTCCTAGAGCAAGCTTCCAAATAAGAATTTCATCAGTTCCACCATCATCTCTACGCTCCTTCTGTGAGCCCCTCACACACCAAGAGCCCCTGCGCCTCTAAGCCTTTGCACCTGCTGTTCCTTCTGACTAGAAGGAACGGTTTTGCCCAGTTCTGACCCTCACTAATTTGTGATTCATCTTCAGGACTCAACTCTAAAGGTCACCTTCACGAAGAGGCCTGTTCCAGATTGCCCTCCTTAAAGCCAACAGTCTATTTAACAGGTGGTTCACATGTTCACTGCTTCTGCACACACACACTCTAACTTTATCTTGACCATTTCCCTGGCTTTTGTTTGCTTTTTCCTAGTAAAGAGGGAGGTCCGTTGGGGCAAAAACTGTGTTCACTATTACCTCCCGGGATACAGCACACTGCCTGACACTCGGCATGCCTCAGTGACGGCGCCCATGAATAAACTCTGGAGGGTCTGACCATCCCCACTCCGCCGACCAGGAAAGTTTGGTTTTGCGACTTGGCCCCGGCGGCCCATCTGCAACCCAAATCTCAGGTCCTCTGCCCTCGACCGCACGGGGTTCCCTGCCTCCTCACCCAGTGACCAGGGTCCCGTCGCGGCGGATCCCGAACTGTGCGTTCTGCAGCCCCCCGGAGCTGCTCACCGGCCGCCCGTCGCTCACCACGTTTCCCAGGCACTCTCCGGTGGCCAT